TCACTCTCCTAATATGACTTGTATGGTTTGTTTTCTTTTCATCAGTCACCACGGGACTTATGATGTCGTTTTACGAGCAGGCTCAAGAGAAATATATGCTCATCGGTTTGTCTTGGCAGCCCATTCACCATACTTCGAAGCCATGTTTCGGTGCCCAATGAGGGAATCGCGTTCGTCATACATTGAGCTTCATGGCATTGAAGCTACCGCACTTATTCAATTAGTTGAATATATGTATACTAGTGGTATGTTCACGATTAGTGTATATTGTTAGTGTGAAGTTATATATTATTGAATCTTTCCATTGTGAATTCTACTGCAATAAACAGCAATATATTCTGACAGATCACAACTACCGTTGTTTTGAGACAATCAATAAGACTCTCCGAACTTAGTCTACTCTATAAACATGATTATTTACAATGGTGAGCGAACTGGTAGTTTTTGGAAGGGTGAGACTGGATTCTCAAAGGCACTGCTATTGACTCATCGAGATGTCTTACTTCATGTATGTTCTATTCACTTCTAAACGTTGAGTGTTTGCAGACTTAGTTAGTTTTTATGCAGATTTCTTCACCAGTTGTGAAAAGCAGGTAGCACTGGACAGATGTCTCGTCCTAGTGTGCGACTCGGCTGAAGCGTGATTTCCAGTGGAATGCTTTATCGGTTTGTGTTGACATCTACACTGACAGTCGTATTTATGCTCCCCAAAGTATTATAAAAATTACCTAAAGATAATTATTGTTCAGGGTAAAATATCTGATCACATGGTATACGTGAGGTACTCATATCTCTTAGGCTGTCTAATTTCAAATTTTCATGCGTCTATGTGGTGCTTTGTCTTACGTTATTTTAGAAATCAGTGTGACGGAAGACAATGTGCAATCTCTATTACCAGCTGCAGACTTTTTACAGCTGACAGTTGTTCGTGACAAATGCTGTGAATTTCTCGAATCACATCTTCATGTCAGTAACTGTTTGTCTATTCGAAGGTTCGCTGTTTTCTATAACTGTTCCAGTTTACTTAAGTCCTGTGAAAGCTTCATCATACGCAATGTCAGGTACGTTTATTTCTTCCCCACAGTTGACTTTCAGGAGTGTTTCTGTCATTAAATTGATTCGTATTTGGTTTTAAACTCCTAACCTGCACTACAATGATTGGGTGGCTTATTATCTGTCAACACGAACAAACTTATCAGTTTGAGTATTGAGATCATCCGTACAGCACTAGGGGTCATTTAGAGGATAAAGTGATTACAAAAGTCCCCTTAAATAAGACTTTCGAAGGTTGGCAGTTTTTTCCGCGGTTACCACCTCCTACCTATTAGGTAAGAAAATTAAGGACAGTTCAGCGGAGAATATTTGCTTTATTTAAGATGTCATCTTTAGAGGCTGAACATCAAGTAAATATTTTCGCTGAGTCAAGTTTCATTTATTTAAGCAGGAGACTTCAATAATTTGTGGGAAGGAAAATAATATACCTAGTATCTGGTGTTTAGAATAGACCATATTTGCTGCATCTAGCTTTCCATTCAGAGAAGCTTTACTAATCGCTATTTTCTGAATATTAACCATCCATCTTCAATTCTGTTTCAGGAAAGTATTGGCAGAAGATGAGTTCTCAGAACTGGATCCAGATGGAATTTTGGAATTTGCTTCTATCTTCATCTCACGCATCCCACTCTACAACCTCCTTCGAAGCTATGCTCGGGTGGTTAGGTTGTTCTCCTAAGTATAAATGCACGACGAAGATAACTTCAAAGAATTCCCTGAGATGTTCGATCTTCTTTTTTGGTACAGAAGAGTCGATGGCTTTTTCAATTCTTAACCCTTGTGTTACGGTATATTTGATTGCGGTTCTTAATCATTACTTATTTCTCTGACAACGCCGACCACGCATCACCTGCCAACATTCAAATCGAAAAAATCCTAAGCGGTGACTTATTCTTTCTGGTGCTGTTGTCATTGATATTTTTATATTTTGTTTCTATTTTTGTAAATGCGAAATACAGACAATTCTACTAAATCGGAGATTCTGAATTCTGTCCTCTGTCCTCCGTTTTTGGTTGACTGGTTTATTGGTATTCAGTCTATGCGGACTGCAATTAAAAACAAACGTTACATTTTGGTGTCGCTATGGTGAGTTTCATCTTCAGATTTACCGTGTTAAATCCCAGATTGTGTTAAATGATCTGATATAAGGAGTTGGTCTAAGAATATTCGAGATGGCAAAAGTGGAGTTCACTTCATTACTACTGTTAGACTAAAAGCATGTAATCCACTGAAGGCTCTCTTATTTATTTATTACAAATACGCCGATTTCATGTGGGGACATTCTCAGTCGCACATAAGAAGCCAGGCAGTTTTCATACTTACCCCATTGGTGAATCACGTTTACAGTCTATAAGAATGTACAATGATTCACTGACGAATACTGTTCGTCACAGTCTACCTCTTGTTGATAGTGTCAACATCCCTTTGAAATCTTAAATTCGTAACAATTAGAGCCTATGATAATAATAATAATAATGGCAGTAATTAATTCAAAAATGCATAAGTAGTATCAAATTAGATTACTGGAGGTAGAGAGTGACCGGTGAATTCCGAAGCATAAATCAGAAAATAGGTTGTCATTTGTACAACTTATGCTTAGTACATTGGTCGATCATGCAGGGAGAAAAATGCTTGAGGAATTCAGTCGACTTAAGAATACATACATTGAGCACTTAATAATAAATCTTGTTTCTTCTGACGATGCAATAACTCATCTTTTGTTTTCTGTGATCTCCGTTCATAGTTTGTTATTAGGTTACAGTTTGTGAGAAATACGTTCTCTCTCTGAGATACAGGTACAGTGTCGAAATACATAAAGCCATGCATAGGTTAACAGACGAACGAGGTATCCTGCTGTTAGTTTCTTTAGTTTAGTATTATACGGTACCGAGTGAGTGAAGGTATGTGCAAGAGTTTGAAGTATTTGCACTGCATATTATTAGAATCTCAACTTCAGCCTTTTATTCATCCGACCTGGAGAACAGAATGCATCATTTGCATACACTGCAGCTAGACATCTGTTGCAGGCAATCATACGTGCATACAACGTTTGCGCTTGTACATATATATAAGTGTTACTTGCATCATTGTCCTTGAATATGTTGATCAAAATGAAACCCTTGAAATATTTAATAATACTCATCGATCAATTGGTTTCACTGAAGAAATGAAATCAGAAGGAGGATTTCCAGTTTTCGATTTCAGTTCGAGTTGAACTGATGGAGCAAGCGAGAGATCAGTCCACTGTAAATCCGAATAGAATGGGTTGCTGACTAACTTCACTGACTAGGCGTGTTCATTGAAGTCTCCAAGAGGAGAAACTGCACAGCACCTTGTCCTTATACATCATTCCGCAAAGATAGCTACACCACGCTTCCAAACTTCTCTGATTATCACCTACATATTTTGGTGAACTGGATTGTTTCATGAAGTTGTCTATCATACTAACTTAAATAGAAGAACAAAAGATTCAGCGAAGAGTCTCTTTCCGGCGAATTCATTCACTTAGCTCTACAATCACATTTGTCTGCAATTATTGTGTGTGTATGTGCGTGTGTAGGTTGGGATTGTCAAACAAGCATACAAACAAGTCAGGGTTATTGTTTACGTCATCAAGATGTTTCAGAAATGTGGTGAATAATCAAATCTTAACTGTGTACCCACCCAATCATCTACAAAGTCGAAGGAAGCATCCGTAGAATGATAATTTTCCGTGTAATTCGCACTGCAGAGGCCTCAGTGATCCGGAAAGAAAACCGTGATTTATGTACACAGAAGAAACTTCTCCACCTCCTCCTTCTACCTTGAGTATAATTCCAACTTCTACTATCCTGTTAGTAATGCTTTTCTGAATTTCCTTATGACTTCTTAGTGTCATCTTTATGTCTCTGGATTCTGTCGAAACTGTGGCATCTTTGGTCGAGTAAAGAGCCTTTACGAACACGCTGAGCGACCTTCGTAGCCATGTTAACGGAAGTGCCAAATATGCAGATAGGTACTGATATTATGAGGCCACCCACAACTTCAAAAGGAAGCAGCCGATACACATTAATGATGATCGGCTATTTTACCAAACGATGTAAAGT